TTATATTAAATCATAAATGGTTGTATTGATCTGAAAGATTGCATTGAAGGTTTTGATAATTCATTTTTCTTCGTTTTTATTTAAAAAAAAAGTGTTGCTGTATCTTTAAATAAATTGTCTTGTCAAAACATTGAGTACGCGTTCAAATATCAAGCAAGTCGAAGAATTTAAATGAAAAAAAAAAAAAAAGTTTCACTTTTGATATTGTATCACCCATTATTCGTGTTTAATCTTTTATTTCTTTAGAATTCTGCTTATCCCTATTGTTACCTTAAGAAAACAGCTCGTGAATAAAATATTTCCTAGTTAGAAGCAAAGATCTTCTATAATCGATAATGTTATTGAATCAACTTTTTCAAGTCATTACCAAAAAGAAAAACAATTAACAAAAAAGAAGTCTCAGTGAGATTGCGTCACTATTGCATGTTAATATTATGATGCCAATCGAATGAAAATAATTAGAAGACTATTTTGATAACAAAGCAAGAGAATCATTTAAGTTCAAATGCGATGATCAGATGCAACGTGAATTGAGTACGCTCTATGCATTCGGAGATAACAGATAAATAGAAAACTGTTCAGTTTAGAACACTATCCAGGTTTTTTTTTACTGAGGTCGAATCTTTCCAACAGAATTCGATAGGAGCCTCACGTAATCCAATGATTTCCAATTGTCGGATCCGACAGTCAGAAACCAATTATATCCATGGATTTCTGACAACGGCCAACACTTGGATTGTCTAGGATTCCGATCATGGGATCCATCGTCATTCGATAGGAGGGAACTTGTCAGATCCCACGAAATCCGATGCTACGATGACAGAGAATTATACTATTCAGCGAATAGTACGCATAACTTATTTATTTTGTTTTTTCTTATTTCTCTTTTTTGTTTTAATATAATTTAGTTTGTTTTATTTTAATTCAATTTCTTTCTTTACAGTTTCTCTTATTATTATTTTTTAAGATTTATCTCAGTTTTTTTCAAATTCATTGTATTTTTTACTTATTTTTATTTTATTTTGCTTTAATTCAATTTTTATATTTATTTTTTTTCCAGTTCTTTTGGTCAGATGACGCTAGGTTTCTTCTGATCAGTTAAGTCTTCTAGCTAATGACTTCTTTTGCAGCGCCGCCTTCAATAAATAATGAAACTTGAGAACTAGATGAAAACTGTCCATATGACTGGTACAAGCGATATGAGCGTGCTCACTGTGAAGAGGAGACGCGATGTGAATTGAGTTTTAATATTTTGCTAAGGGTTTATAAGTATCCATGCAATGAGCCACAGAAAAACTCAAGCAGAAGAATCTCAATCAATTGGCGGTTTTCGATTGGCTTGAACAACAGGAAGAGTTATAAATGTTGAAAAAGAAAGATAACAATTGTGTGTAAAGCATAGGTAAAATTCCATTGAACTGGCGTCGAAATGAATTCAAAATAGCATTGAAATGTTTGTATTGTGTAGATTTATCGTTCTAAGTATTTTTTTGCTCAACGGTCGATCGAAAAGCATTTAGAGAGTGATGCGTGTTCTTGTATAGCTCCATCTGTTAAAACATTTTCCATGTAGCATTGTGTCACACTTTATTGAGAAACGCTTGATGCCAGTATTCGTTTGTTGCCGATGAACAATGAGTCCAATAATGATCAATACCAGCAAATAGGTAGATCTCAATGAATTCGCCCTTGTTCTTTTTATATTATCATATAAGTCATTAGATTCGAATTAAGGTACGTTCATCGTTTTATGAAGAAGTACTAGCCTCTTCAGATGTAGATCAGATATCTAATAAACTTTATGATTATTGTTTTTCCACAATCTGTTCTCCAAACACAATATATCAGGAAACCAGAACCAAGCACTATTGTCATTTTCGCTTGGCAAACTATTGATATCAACGAGTCCCCAAAAATAATTGGCGCTCTCAATATTTCCTCAGTATATTTCATTTTTTGTTGTTTCGAACAAATCTCGTTTTTCTAAGCCTCAATCTTTTAATCCTCATAAGACTATATGACAAAGGAAGATAAAAAAGGTACGAGTAAAGATGTTCTTTAAGTAGTACTAAGAAGATGCGACATCAGGAATTTTTAAGCGCAAAATATGGCTGTCTTGTATTTTTTCCTCATATCGGACTCTGTGAACAAATTTATTAATCTGTGTCGTGAAACTTAATAGCTTTTTCTCTCTTATTAGAATATTCCTGGACGTTTTGAATTACACGTTTTAGTATTAAATGAGCGCAGGTTGTTTTTCGAACTTGCACAAAAAACACTTTTGTTATTGAAGTCTTTACTAATCTGGAATAATCATGCAACTTTACCACGGTTCGTTTCTTCAGAGGGAAATTCTATCTTATTTAAAAGCGGCTGAGTCGTATCATGAAAGCCTATTTCAACTCTGATTAAATACCATTTCCTGTTGAATTGGTTCAAGCAGAAAGGCCAAATATAGCAGATACCAACCAATTGCTTTTTTTTTGTTCTTTTTCTTTTGTAACTTGTGTGTATTGCTTTTATCTTATTTCTGTTTATCACTAACACGTGCTGTAGTTGTCAAATGTCTTTTCTTTCTCTCTTAGCCTTTCTTATTTTTCACGTCTATTTGTGCTCCTCCAAGATCAATGTCCTCGATGACTTGAGATTATGCAAGATAGGATTTTGTTTTTGTCAGCGAAGACATTTATTGATTTTTGTTCGCAAGAGAAGCGTCTGAAGACCAAGAAAATGTGAATTAAAACGCATTGTCAAACAAACGCCGAAAAATAAGGAATCTGACAGAATTTTAATCGATAGCGGAATTTTTATGATTCTATAGCCATTCATGAAACCTTTTTTAGGTTCTAAATCTTAGCCAGAACTTATCTCGAACGGTACGATATGTAAACGGTCGCATGCAGCTAAATTATGATGACTCGCTATTCGGGAATGACGATCTCATAATGTGTATCGTTTCACGATGCCTTACGATACTAAACAATACTAGATACATCTTTCACGTTGCAACATCAACGTACCGTATCCTATCACTGTGTAGATGCACTATTTACATTATATCATTGAATTATCTTAACTTCATAATTAATTAGTTACTAAGTAATGGTATACAATCGATAATTCTTATGAAGTACTATCTAGCACTATCAAGCGTGTCATACACCGATGTTTGTAAGAAACACTTGGAACGAAAAATATTTTCTTCTATCTATTGTAACTTGAAAGGTTAAGTCTGTATGAATTTTTTTAAAGGACCAAGTAGACAAGGAAACAATCAAAGTAACATCCAAACATCTCAATATATAAATTGTAAAAATGTTTTATTAGTCTTCAAGAATACGTTTGTCATTGTCTACGACAATTCACTTGTTAGCACGTCTGACACATTGAAACACTTACACTTGTTATAATATTTGCTGTTTGAACAGGTTTTTGGCGGCTAATCCAATGTTTTTAATGATTTGGATGATATTTGAGAAAACAACTGTTAACGATTAATACGTATTCCATATCGAAGCATTTATAATTAATTAAATTTTCATTCTGTTAATTAATTGATTGTAGTCAAAATATAAATTCGATTGATGTTAAACTAATGTTGATTGATCTATGATCTGAAAACTTTTCCAAAGATTTCTTTCTCTTTGTCCAATTTACTTATATTTACATTAAGATTAAGTGTACATATTAGCAAGTACTTACGCAATTAGCTGTTTTTATTTTTCTAATAGTGAAACTGAAGATAAAAACGCGTAGGTCGAATCGTCCCATATTACCGTCTTGTCATTCCAGTTTACCATCAGAAAAGAAAAAGAAAAAAACAAGCCGATAGGTAAGTAGTAACATGTGCACTCAATCTTCACGTAATCAAAAGCTAACTGATGAAAGCCAAAGGAACCTTACAAAACGTTTTTAAATAATAAACAGTACTTTAGAACCCATATAGGTTGAAAGTGGGTATCTGTTGAGAGGACTGCATTAGATTTTTCTATATTCACAACCATACTCTCCTACCATCATGATTCGTTCATCGATTGCTTTCTGTATGTATTTCAGTCTCTTCAGTGCAACAACAATTGCTTCCCCAATCAAGAAAAACTACGACGCCATGCGTTTATCTTATCTTGTTATCAGTTAGTATTCCTGAATGAATCATCATGTAATCATCTACTATATTCAGATTGAAGTCATACATTATTGTTTCACTAATAGTTGCTAGTTAGATTCGATGTTTCTAATGGTTTTTAACAATGAATTCTTTTTTTCACTTTTCAGAGACACAATCTCACATTTCATCCATCAAAAAATCTAGGTTTGATTTTGTTTTTGATCCGAAAATGTTTTATTTTATTACAAGACAGCTAATCTGAAAGCAGAAGTTCATTCCTAATGATCACCTATGGATGCCATTCACTGTTGCAATATAGTCGTAGGATTCTGTAGAAGTCTATGACATCTATAACAGGCACTTTCACATCAGCAAACGTGTCCATGTTTATTGATATAGAAAATTTATCATTTTTCTGCACGTTTAACATGTAAGTCCTAAAATTAGACATGCTTTTTGTTTCAATTTTTTTCTTATAATCTAAAACATATCGTTTATGTCATTTTCTTTCAATAGTTGACGATTTACGTATGTTAGTGACCTCTTTCATTTTCAAATAATTTGTTCTCAGAATTAAACGAATAGAAATCAACGAGTGTGACTTAACTAATCAAACTACTAGATTTTATTTTTCTCTGAAGTTATTGTGTCGCCACTCGTTGTATTACCGTAGATACATAAGCATAATCATATGTGTGATGATTCGTATTAATTATTATTTTGTTTATTAAAAAAAAAAAGGAAAAATAAACAATAATCCATTTTTTTTTCATCATTCTTCTGTATTTTTTCCCTAAACAAAATTACTTGTTTACTTTTTTTATATATTGCATTTGATTTGTTTTTAGTTTTAAAAATAGCTGTGATTAAATAATAATGAACGTTTAAAAATATGTCTGGACAATCACCATATATGTCAGCAGCTCAATATGGTTATCCAACTAGTTTTCAACAGGTAAATTTCTAGAAAGTTTGTTTTTGTTTACAAACAAAAATATTTCATTTTGTTTTTTTTCTAGCGTGATGCTCGTTATCCTAGTGGTTCAACTGTTGAAACAGGTCTAGGAATAAATCGACGTCCATCATTACTTGCTGGTTATCATAATCATTTCAGTAGTCCAGAAAGGTTTGTTTCAAATAAACAAAAAAAAAATGTATTTGTATGATATTTTTTTTCTTCTTTTAGAACTTCAATACCACCCTTCTTATATTCATTAGCAGCTCCAATGTCAATGGGACCACATGTTGACGAACATTCAAAACGAACACGTTATCCAACAAATGCACCACTATCAATTGATGTGAAAAAGGTTTATTGATTTATTAATTATGAATAATTTATTATTACTAATTTGAAATTATTAGGAACCACCATTGTATCAACCACAAACCGAAGCAATATCGCCCATATTTGATGAAACTAAAATTGATTCACATATGAGAGATACAACAATAATACGTAATTCAATATCAAAACTTGAATCTGAAATTGAAATCACAAAAAAAAAACTTGATCGAGCAAAACTTAGTCAAGTAAGAATTAGAAAATTCTTTGCTTTTTTTTTTTTGTTAATTTTGGAATTATATTTTTCTTTTTTTTTTTTGTCTTTATATAGAGTGAAATAAAAAGTCAAGCTGACAGATCAGCTGCTGATGAAGAAGAAAATGATGATCAAGATGATTTATTTAAAACTAATGGTTCACAAACACTTATCGAAAAAATTCTTCATGATAATAGAGTAAGTTTTATCATATATATATTATAAAACTCGTACTTGTTAATTATATAATTCCTAATTTTGTTTTTTCCTATACATATAAAAAATTGGTCATAAAATATAAAAGAACAGTCGATTATGTAATAGTTTTCTAGTAATATGCGTTGATCTTTCAAGATTATTTTACGTATTATAAAACATGCTACGTTAAGCATCTAAAATATGATAATAATAAGATCAGATTGTGCCTTAAGTTATTTAAAAGGCTTATTATGATTTATAGGAAATAATTGAAGTTAAATGAATGAAAATTTCCATAGGACAACCTAGAAAAAAGGTTTCACATGAGGGTTTTTTTCATAACATTCTCATAATTATTTCCTGAAATGCAAAATATGCCGTAAGAAGGAAAATTTCCCTGAACAGACAAATAACTTGAAGAATTTCCCAACATTCAATAGTTTCAAAGAGTTCTTCAAACGCATATGCAAAGGTATCTTCTATACTTCTGTTTATGTCATACTATTAATGAAAGTATATTCTAGATTTTTCATATTTATATTAAAGAACTTAACACTATTTTTCTTTTGCATCTTATGCAATAAACACTTGAGTTGAATATGAGATTTATTAAATAAAAGTTAGTCAAAGATAAATATTAATCTTTAAAAACAATACTAGATTAATGATTTATACTTGAAAAATCTATTGTTTATCGAATTGAATTGATATTAATCAAGAGAATGAAATTAATAAATGAAATTTTACTCGTTTAAACTATTTGCACTTATACAATGACCTTGACCCAAATCGAATACATTTGTTCTATATGTATAAAACAAATTTATTCTCGATTTTCATGAATTTAATTATGTAATTTTTTTCTCATTAACTAAAGTTTTAATAAATAATTGCATGTGTGAAAGTGACCTGCAATTATTAAAAATATATAAGTGATAGTTCTTTGTTTTCGGATACAAACGTATAACATATAATTGCTCATCCAATAGAAAAACAAAATACGTAATCACGGACTAGATTATATTTATCCGATCGATTGATTAGTCATCCTTTTCTTAATTGTAAACATTTATTCGCATTCTAGGCATAATCTTGACTTATTATCATATCGACTATTTTTATCTTTTCTCCTACTGTATATATTTTCCGTTCAGTGACCGATATTTGTATGACTTCTTTTTTTATTACAGATTTGTAATCGCAAATGTTGTTTGAACATAGATTGTTAAGAGTATAGCTCCTCTTTCAGCTTCGAACTCATACGATCTCATTGAAGTTTGATTGAAAAATGATACTTGGGTCAAAGAATATAATGCGACATTAAATTTTCATTATTAGACATATTTGAATATTCAGATGATCGACGAGTCAAGTGTGCTTTTTTAATAAGTTTTGAAGCTGTAGAGAAACAGATAGTGACTGACGTGAGAATCATCCAAATTGAAAATTGTTATTTGGATTCATATTGAGCCAACAAGGACGTCTTGATGAAGCTAGCGAAAGTCTTCAAACATGTATGTCTATGAACATTCGGAACCAAATTAAGATCAATTTACAGAATATTTTGAAAGTTTCAGACGAAAAGATTGTTCCGTTGTCGAAATATTGATTTGGCAAGTAGACTGCTTTCTTTGTATATGTTTGTGGCAAATAACTATTTATTTAAAAATTCTATATCTCGACGAAGGAACATTTTTTTTCGATTGAAATTTTATGTCGATAATCACAAGGAAGTGGTCTGAACTGATCAATTGCTTTTGTATCTCGTCTTTCGTTATTTGTTTTTTGTAGGGTTTTAAATAACTCAGAAAGGTAGAGGCGAAAATACCTATAACTCTGGACAGAAGACCTGAATGCGACTTATCCTTTTGAAGTTTTTTTTTATATATCAGTAGACTCTACCTTATGCATTGAGTTTAAATTCAAAAGCAACTAATCAGTTGGAAACACTCTCTCATCAGTAAAGCGATCATCGGTTGGTTCAAAAGGTTCATATGAATAAACACTTTTAGACTTACGTTAGCCTTCCTAAGACAGTTTTATAAACCTAATATGAATTCAAACGGTAGGTATTAATTCGGGTGACTCCTTCTCATGAGAAACAAAATCATTTTCTAAAACTCGAGAGTCGTAGTATCAAACAACAAAACACTTTATATACATTTTCAATAAACTTGATCTGAATTATTCATCACACATATCAATAATTTTGTTCTATCTTTTTATGCATATAAAATTTAAAATAAAAAATTTCTTTAGAAAAAAGCTGAAGATGGTCAAAAAGTTTTGAATCAATTAAATAATAATATGGATTTAACAATTCCACTTTATGAAGAACCAAATGATCTTGAATCAATAGAAAAAATTCGAACACAGTATGTTATTTTTTGTTTTTTTTTTTGTGCCATAGCTAAATTAAACTTTCAAATATTTTTATTCATTAAGATATATGAATGTAATGAAAAATCGTTTAATAAATTTATTAAAAAAAAGTCGTGAACGTTATATGTGTCGAACAAAATTTGAAAGTGAAAATTATGATCAATCATATCAAGAATGGCAAAAATCAATTGAAAAAGATGAAAAATTAATATTAGCTAAAGATATATCAACATATCGTGAAACATTTGAAAAAACATTTCCAGAATTACGAAAAGCACGTGAAGATAAAGAAAAAAAACATACAACACAAAATACAAATGATTCATCATCATCATCATCAATTGATCAACAACAAATATCAACAAATATAAATCCAATTGAACCAGATAATGAAGAAGAAACAGATGAAAAAATGCGTAAATCATCTGTTATACCGCCTATTATGTATGATAGTTGGCAACGTAAACATCAATATTTTAATCAAAATGGTTTAATAAAATGTGATCCTGCATTATTTTATAAAGATTGTGCAAAATTACCATATTGGTCAGCTGAAGAAAAACAAATATTTATTGAAAAATTTACTCAATCACCAAAAAATTTTGGTTATATATCATCATTTCTTGAAAATAAAACAACTGAACAATGTGTACAATTTTATTATATGACTAAAAAAACAGAAAATTATAAAAATTTATTACGTAAACAATCACAAGCCAAAACTCGTAAAACAAAACAAAATACAACAACAACAGTTACATCATCGACAACAACAATTGAAACAACATTAGTTACAAAAGTTACATCGAATACAATTATTTCATCAACATCACAACAAATTCTTGGATCAGGACAAGTTTGTTTTATTGACATTTTAAATATTTTTGATTTTTATTTCATTGTTTTAGGATGTCGATCGTTCAATAGATCGAACGGATAAGTAAGTCTTTGATAGAAAACTTTAATATATATTTTTAGCATTAATTAACATCGATATTAATTACTAAACCACTCAGTTAAAGTCTTTGCACAAAATATTGATTTATTTTTTTCGTTCACGTAAAAACAATTGGTTACAACCAGAGTCAGACTTTTCCCCTCTTCTTCAATATGTGTTCAGATACAGCCATAATACAAGATCCTTCACTTTCTAAAATATTGAAACTTCAATTAGTTTATTTAAATCAAAGTTTGCATAGTTTTCAGGGTTTTGAGCTGAAAATCTTAAAAAGACTAAGGTCAACAGTTTTATTGAACATTTAAAACGCGAAAAATATCTTCAGAATCGCTTTGCTTTTCCGAAAAATCCTCTTTATTAAAAATTACTCAGAAAAATGTGATACAGTAGAAGACTCAAGTCTTCCGTTGCTGGAATGGAGGAGCTTAAACCTGTTTCAAGGTACATAAACTAATGGTTGTCAGAATACTATTTTGGTCAATTTTGTATTTCGATTGCAGCCAATCCAATATGTTGTAATATCTCATTTTGTACAGATTTCAGTGCTCTACAATAATGTTGAATTCGTCGGGTTAGTTTTGAATCCGGCTGGGTCCAAGTTGAAATATTGGGACCCGATGCGCTCTAGTTGAAGCTGTTTCAAGACATAGTTTTAAATTTTTTTTTCACAAAATTTACTGATAATTATTTAATCTTACCTCAGAAGGAAAACCTAGAGGTATATTTGAAAATTATGAGAAATTCTGATTCAAACTTGAAATGGTTGTTTTTTAGTAGTCAAAAGATGAACAAATATTTTGTACTAAGACTTTTGCATTATAGGGTAATTGACGAGTCAATATTGAACAATAAAATTTTTAAAGATTGAATTTCGTTTACAAGTTATGTATACATTGAACAAAGCTAAAGAAAAATAGATATAATTTGAGTGAGATATTGGTGTCTTACTATGATTTTTCTACAATATTTCACTTGCCAAGGAAAGTCAAACTTTCGAATTTTGCTCCCACAAAGATCTCAATTAGAATTTTCGAATTCATTATTTATAAATTATTAACTAATTCGCATAAAAATGCATTTTTATGAGTATTATTTTATGTATGAATAATTTATTTAAAAAACTTGTGTTGACAAGTCAATCTGAACGAGCGTACGATGTTGGTCAAGTTTTAAACTAAAGTTCAAGATTACCAGAAGAATGAAGTGGTGAAGAAAAAATTATAGAGAACAGTCTTAACTTCTCAGCCGAACTATAATTTACGCTTATATTTTTCTGTCATTATTTCTAATCTAAACATCCTTTATGTCTGAGCAAAGTTTGAGTGGAAAAGCTTTCTATCACACAAAGATATTTTCTCGTTAAGAATTTTGCAGAATACCAATGAGATATTCAAATAAATTGTTAGAAAAGTCTTAATATATATTTTCAAAAAAAATGAATATTTTTTTCTTGATTACTTGCTATAAAGTATAACTTAAAATATTATATATCATTAAAGAAAAATTTGATGCTTTCACTACATGTTGACCAAGTTTCGTACAACTCAAAGTTCTTTTTTAATAATAAAAATTACAGGTCTATTCATGTACCTATTATAAATCTCTATAGACATAATTAGAAACTTTTCAACCTGAAATGAATTTATAGAGCGACTGATTGTTTAAATATCTCATTAGGTGAAAATCAAATAATTCATAATTTCTTGTGGTTTATTTCAATGAATCAAAAGCTGTAGCAGATTATGTTTTCAGTTTTAAGTTTAATTTTCATATTTTAATTTCAAAACAAAAACCTGTGTTAAAATAAACTTTCTTTGATTACAGAATAAATTTTTTATATGTTTTTTTTTTCTAATTTTTCAGTGATGACGAACGACGTGATACAAGTATGTAAAAATTTTTAAGTATATTTATCAGTTTAGAAAAAAAAAACAAATTGTTTTTAGATTCCGGTGATACAAATGAAGAAAAACGTTCAAATAAAAAGTTTGTTACATTCGTTTTACTCTTTTTCTTTTTAACATAGTTTTATTTCTAGTCGATGTCAACTATTATCTTGTACAACAGACAAATCTGTTAAAAAGAAAAAAAATAAAAGTCGTTTACGTGCATTTCCAACAAAATGGAGCGAATTATCAAATGAACATCAAGAAGAAATACGTCGCTCCTTACGTAAATTCATTTTTTTTTCACTCATAAATAATAAAATAATCGAATTTATTTTTCTAGAAATTCCTCCAAATGTTCAACGTTGTTGTACACGTTGTTATGACAAATTAATTACTGAAGTACGACAACGAAAAACTAATCAACTATTAGGAGAAGAAGATGATGATGAATCAACAATAACAGTTCATCACAATTCAAAACAAGATGGTGGTAATATTTCATTTTATAATTATCTCATAGTTCTATCATAAGTTCTGAAATGTATTTAAAATTTATTATTCTTATATGTAGAATAAGAGTAAACTTTTTGAAATATTGTTAGATTATTACACAGACTTAGTAGTATAGAACCATACAACTTTGAAATTCATAGATTACACTAAGATGAGGAAAGTTTCAAAACATGATTATATCCTATATTATTAATTTCTAAGTATTTGTACCGATAAAACGTAATACAAAATAAAACAATGACACTTATACTTTAATTCCAATGATACTGACGTGAGAACATATCCAACTGTCGAATATGGTTCGATTTCATATTATGGCTATGAGTGGGTCACAGTAAGACTAAGAAAGACTTAAAAAGATTAGAAGCCATCATGATCTATGGCTGAAGAATTATAGGCGTTGTAATGAAATTTTTAGTGAGAGCAAACGGGTCTCGGTTAAAGATCGATGATAACAAGAAATACTCAAAGTCGATTATTTGGTTCCTATTTCGATTCCTAAAAAGCATCTTTGGAACCGATAGCTTAATAATAGTTTACGAAATAACTGATAAAATAATATTTTTTTTTCTCAAATACATTCCTTGCCATTTTGAATTCTTTATCTGTGGTAAAAATTTCACCTCAATTGGTTGTACTGTTTTCAAGAATCAAAAAAGATGCGCTATTCTTTAGCAAATTCTTCCATGTTTCTAACTTTTTCTACCATTCAATTGTGAGAGATACACATAGCTTATCGCTAGTGTAATTGTCGATTTACTTTTTGACTTCAGAGTATGTAACATCTAAACAGCTCCTGAGTTATCAGTAAAAAAACTTTACGCCTCTATGTTCTATTCCGGATAAAAGAAATTGAAAAATTCCGGCTCAGTTCTACGTTCCGTGTTTTTTCCGAACTGTCGAGCTCTTCTGCGGGTGAACATACAGAGAGAAATAACAGGTATCCACACTTACACTAACATCTTCATATTATCCATAATGTTTATCATTGTAGAAGCTATCGACGTCAAGCTGTTTAGTAATTTAGTATAAAATTGTTGTTTTAGTCTAATACTTCCAATGGCTTGTTCATGTTATATGCAAGGACTATGACATTTAAAATTGTTCAAGAACTTCTAGGATATCCTATATCATATTTTCCGAGTCTTGATCTATATATCAGTATTTCAAGTATTATCGGTTTCAAAATACAATGTAGTCCACTGTTTTGTATTAGTTATGTTAGCAATGTCATAGAGACCTATTGATTCTCATAATTCAGGAGAGAGGATCTCGAGCCATTAAAATATCTTAAAATTTAATTGTTCAGTAATACATCAATCATATGAGTTCTTGGTAGAGATTCTACTCTTTCGATCTATACAAGGTCAACATTTCTAGCTTGTTAGATTCGAGAGTGATAAGACTTTTCTGAGACTATCGATAGCAGCTAATTGATTTATGATCATCCGATAATTCAACTAGTCAGTGGTATTTCATCATGTTGAAACACATGCTAGTCTGGTAATCACAGCTCTATTGACTGAATTATAAAGTCGTCTAACTCTCGAACGAAACTAGCTAGGAATTTTAACCTTGCATCGATCGCAAGAGAAGCGTACTTTCTATCGATTATTTCTATACAAAGTTTAAATAAAATGAAAACAGCTTAAAAATATTGTTTTCGAAAGTCTTCACCAAGAACTCACTTGATTAGTCAATCGTTGATCAATCAAATTTCGATAAAGCGCGATAGCCCTCAAATCTTTTCTCCTCAAGTGATGAAAACTACAGTTATATAAAAAACAGTACAATACATTATATTTTGGTATGAATTTTATTCATTTTGTTATAAAAAAAAAAGCGAATGATTCAAATTAAGTTTGTTAATTCATTTTTTGTCTTTTCAGAAGAATGGAATAAAGCAGAAATCGATGCATTTACACAAGCAATTAATAAATTTCATCATGATTGGACACAAATAGCTGAATATGTTCATCGTAGTGAAGAAAGTTGTCGAACGTTTTATATAAAACAATATAAAAATGTTTCACCTGTTGATGTAAGGAAAAAAAAACATAAGCTTTCATTAATATCAAAAACAAAGAAAATTTTTTATAAATTTACTTTTTTTTTTTAGCAGAATATTGATGAAGATAATATTAGTATATCAGGTTCTGAATTAGGTCAAAATAAACAAATTAATGATGATAATCAATTAAAAACAATAAATGAAGATAGTAATGATTCAACACATGGAATGGTAATTGATGAAGGTGAAGAACAAGCATCAATAATTGAAGAAAAACCATCGAAATCAATTCCATTAGCAACCCATTTAACAACAATAACATCACTTGTTGAAAAAGAAATATCAAAAACATTAAATGAAACTGAAAAACGTTCATTAACTAATAATAACAATAAAAATATCAATGCATCACCTGAGCGATTAATTAATAATAATAACAATAACAACACTAATAATAATAATATAACTCAACCACCACCACTTATAACTCTTTCGAAATCTCAATCACCAGCAACACATTATCAATATTCATCTCATGCTCAACAACCATATGTAAATAAAGGTTCAATTATGCGTGGTACACCCATATCATCAACAACACCAACAAATAAACCAATTGCTGTTGATATATCATCAACACATTCTCATCCGCATCATTATAATAGTCCAAGAAATGAATATTCACATTTGAAATCACCTAAAATATTAGATCGAAATATTGAACAACAACAACAACAACATTTACTTCAGCAACAACATGCAGCTCATATGCGTCACTATCCTCATCCACAGCAATATTTACAACAACCACAACAACAACAACAACAACAGCATAAGACTTCAACAAATAAATTAGATCCGTCAAATACAGATACATTTGAAACATTAAGAGCTGATTATGTAACATCCAAATATCTTACAACAACACATTCACCAAGTCATGAACGGTAAATTCATTAAACATATTTATTCAACTAAACATTGAATAAACTCCTATGGATTACAGTATAACAGTTTGAACTTATTAATAATGACAGAAAATTCTTTCAAAATTCCTTTTGTGCCTAGAACTCAAGCAAAAAACCCTTATGTTTTTGATTTTTATATCAAAAACTGCTTCAAGTACAGATCGGATATATACTTTTTTAATATGAACAGAGCTGTCCTAAGGTCATGAGTAGTGCACGTCGAATTGGTCCTGAATTCGAGTTCGAAAAGTTTTGGACCCGACGGACTCTAGTGGTCAGGATTGCGGGAAAATCGATTAGAACACTTTTGCTAAAGTTGAACAAATTTGACGAGATGGGAAGTTAAGCAGCTTTCTGCTGAGAGGAGAGCAAAAGTGCAATAGGGTGTGAGTGTGACTAACTCCTATGATCATACTTTTTGCGAAACTCACAATATGTTTTTTTTGAAGAACATATAGTTATTATAAATTTTAGGTCGAGATTTTTCGACTCTTCCCTTATAACAACGAGAATAGAAGAAGGCTAAGAATCATTAGGTCCGCTTTCATAGTAACAACAAGTATCATACTGATTTTTTCAAATACCTTATCAATGAAAAAATGCACATTACCGATAAGACTTAGACTATTCTAAACATTCCAAAGTCTTTCTCAAAATTTCAATGGTTGGGATACATTTTTTTGTATGTTCTAAATAACATAGTTTTTTTTTTGTAGAGATAATAATTTATATTCAAGATGTCAGTGAAGTTTCAACATACCGAAAATCTTTTAGATTGAATCCAACTGTTGAAAATTTCCTAATACTATTACATTGGCTCATAAGTTCTGCACGTTTTTTGTTCATGTTTTGAGGCAACTTTCAGGCTTTATATCTCATGATTAGAATATGATAGAGGTCTGAAATTTTTAATATAAATAGGTCTCTATGACTTCTATCTGTTTAAAAAATTTTACACCTCTATCACTTTCTAATCACGCCATATAAAGCTTGAAAGTTGCCTAAAACACGAACAAAAAACGTGCAGAATTTATGTGCCAATGTAATATATTCTCTATAGGTTTATTCTGTCAAATAGAAGAAAATGTAGATCTTTTTCTAGTTATTGAGTGCAACGATAATGAAAGATTGTGAATATGGATATCTGAAGACAAAAACGACAGTCACTTCCACACTCTAAAAAACCTATGTGAATTTCATATTTTAATCTCATAGAGGGCTGCTTTGAGAAGTTTTTTTTTGTTTATTCTTAAGTTTATTCCATATTTTTTATAGTCAACATCGTGCTGGTCCTGAACAAGTTTCACCTTCTCAAATATCTCCATCAATTGGTCAATCATTACTGCCTCCACCGGCAGCAATTGGTCCTCCTACGTCAAATCCTTCTGTTCCACCATCACCACATTCTCATCATTCACAACAACAAGCTGCTATTCTAGCTGCTTCACAATTCCTTGCTTCATCAGGCGTATATCCACAAGATTTATTATCAAATAATCTTTTACAATATCCATCATATTATGGTTCATCACCAAATAATGCACCATTCTTATTTGATCCACGTCTTATGCATGAATATGCTACTGCAGCAGCCAATAACGAACAATTAAAAGGTTTGTGCAAATCAAATAATTTAAAAAAATCGAGAAATTAATATTAATTTTGTTTCTTATCATAGCTGAACATCATAAAGCAGCAATGCGTTTAAGTCGACAACAGCATCAGCATCCATCTTCTTTACGTGGACATTCACCGCCCGATCCATCTTATTCTAATCAAGCAGCAAAACGACATTCATATGACTTGGGATATTCAACAAATGACTATCCAGCATCTATTTGGCATGCACAAAATATGAATAGTCCTCAACAACAACACCAACACCAACAACAACAGCAACAACAACAGCAACAACACCAACACCAACAACAGCAACAACACCAACACCAACAACAGCAACAACACCAACAACAACAACAAATGCATTCGCAAATGAAACATAATACTGGAACAAATGAAAATCCATTATTAAAGTTAAATGAATTATCTCGATATTCATCAGCACGTGCTCCCGAAAGAAACAGTCGGTAAGAAAATTTTTAAAAAAGGTTGAGATTCTACAATATGGGACAGAAGTCGTTTCTCTAACAGATCTCAGTTACCATAAACACTAGAATTCTAAAAATTTCTGTGTACATAATTCATCAAAAATGTAGGTCAAAGCTACCAGCTTGCATCCGATTGCTTAAACACAACGGGAATTATGATAAATAATAATGAATAACACTTATTTCTCCTCCGAACTCTGTACTTCTGAAAAGAAAAGATTTTAGGGATTAGTTGATTTCTCATTACTTACGGCTATATTCGAGCTATCCATTCTGTTTAATTTCATGGAAGTTGATAAACTCTTGGTGCTAACTATTTCAAAATATAATATACTTCGCTGTTTTTCGAATGACTATTGATAGAAAGATCATGATGACATGTAGTTTTCATCATTTAAGAGAGAACGTTTTTGACCATCGAATTATATAACCAAATTTCTTTAGTTAGTAATTCACCAATCAGATGAGTGTTTAGTAGAGATTTTCAAAAACAATATTCTTAAGTCATTTTTCTTTCGATCTACATAAGGCTGAGATGCCTAGCTTCTTTCACTCAAGAACTGTAGAACTTTTCAGAGACTCGACCATTTTTTTACTGTAAATATTCGAGAAATGAAAAACTGCCTCATGCCTTTTGTAGACTATAGTTCGGTAACACTACGATGAATGGACCTCTAAATTTTAGAGAAGCGTTGCCTATAGAGAAAATTATCGCCTAGGAAGTCTCAGAAAAGCACCTTGTTCTAAAAGGAAACGTTAAACCCATAATCATCGTGGTAGTACCGAGGATTCAAAGACATCCAGAGACAGCAGTCTTGTAGCAGATAATAAAATCTTTTAAGTGACGAGGGGTCATATATTCGTATGTACACAAAAATTTCTAGATTTCTTTCGTATATGGAATCTGAGAACTGCTGAAAGAGAAGAAGCTTATACTTCTCTTTCTTGAGAATAAATTTTCTAATATTGATTTTATTGCAGTTCACCAGATGATTATCATCATCATGTAAATCAATCACGTGGTACTACTGAAAGTCCATCTATTCATTTTCAACGTGTTGAAGCTGCTCATAATCATCATGTATGTTTAATCATATAGGAACAAATAACAAATATAATCATATTTATTTTTCTTTCTTTCTTATTTTCTATTAGAAACTATCTTATGATAAATCAAATCCTAATTTACATTTTACTGATCATTCAACAGATGGAAATTCATTAAATTATATGAGACAAAATCCAAATGTACATAAACCTCAAGCAACTCATCATTCACCTCATCGTCATCATCAACAGAATACAAATTCAAATAATCGTACATTAGTTCCACCAATACAAAATTCACAAATTTCACCGCATCATCCAACTTATCTAATTCATAATCGTCATCATGCATCAATTGATACGATACCATCTCAACGGCAACAACAATCTCCTCATCATCATCAACAGCAATCACATTATTCGCAACAACAACAACAACAACAACAACAACAACAACAACGAACATCAGATCATAATGAATCAATAAGAAATCCTAAAGAATCTATTTCGATTCAAGAATTTATCAATAAAAATGTTAACGATTTTGTTAGTTTGACAAGTAAGAAATTTTTAAATTAAATAATCATTTTTATTACGACATATCTATATTAAACATTTATCATTTATTATGAATTAAGTCATCATGACCTTTTGTAATAACACAATGTAAGAAAACAATTATCATCTATCTAATCCAGGGTTGTTTAGTGTAAAATAGTTTGATTGATTATAGCGTAGAATGAATTTATTTTTAGCTTAATATAATCACTATTTCTTTTTTTCTTATCAAGACAAAAAGAATCGTGCTTGGACTTATTATCATGCGTTGAATATATTTCTTTCTTTCTGTTTTATTTTTATTTTTATTTTTTATTAACAAGATGTAAATAATCACCAACAATCTTGTTTAGCACGTTTTTTTCCATATCCTACAGTATCGTAAATAATGATACTATTATTACCTTTATTTCATTTACAAATCATACTGACGATAGACATATTTATATTTGATAAATTTATCTATTCGTTGTTTTGTTATTTTGACAGAGAATAATCGAAAGTACATATCTATAGTTACAGAAATAAGTAATATATCAGCATTCAACACGACATTATAACATTAGAAACGTTTTGTGCCTCTTAATATAGATAGTACAATAAATTAGAGGTCATCGTTATCGAGACTTTTAATAAACACAGACTTATAATTATCACTGTGAAATTCGATAACATTTTTGTCTCTAATGATTTGATTGTTAAAGTTTATGATGCAATACATATGCATCATATCAAATGACTGAATATTAGTTTGTTTCAGTTATAATATCAAAATACGATATTCGAGTCTTACTAACATCAGACATAGAATGACCTAGAAAAAGTTAGTAACTGTCATTTGTCTCAAAATATCATTCTGATAGTATACTGACAATTTTGTGACATGCATCAATTCTTGTAGCTTGTACATAAAATTCATTAGTATTGGTATGGAATTGAGATAATTAAGCAGAAGAGTTCTGAAACAGACTAGTTTTCGGTTCAAAGTTCGTTCTAAAAGTATTCGTAGAAAAAACGATAAAAATCTGATACTAAAATATTTTGAGACAATTTTCTATATTACAAAATAGTCGAAAGAAGTAATAAGTTTCTTTTTCTTCGTTCTCTTCTTCATGTCAAATAAGGCTGTTCATGGATAAACATAAACAACCAGAAGCTATAGTTTATATCGTAGAGTTCTATTGAAAAGTAATCGATTTTCTCTAAAGGATAAAACAAGAAATAACTTCTAAGTTATGTTGACCTTTATTATCATTGTATATACATATTCTCGAGATATATTTATAATTACAAATAGAATTATAATTTAATATGTTTAGATAATGATACTAAAAATTCAACTAATGATTTATCATCATATGAATCTCTTAATAATCAATTGACACGTATTCATCACACTAGTGTAAGTTCAATAATTTAATTGATTTTTGTTTTCTTTTTTATAATTAATTAATTAATTAATTCTAGAATTCTGATCAACCAATATTAATCGATGGTGATGATGATTCAAATCCAATTGAACAAACTGATATAACAAATAAAACAAATACAGAAAGTGAAATGTTTGAACGACGTCGTGATAGTTCTATTAAAAAAATTCTTTCCGATCAACCATTAGAAAAACAAGAATATGTTGGTAAGAATTAAGTCCTTCAAAAATCGATTTTGAATCAGATATATTCAAATCACATAAGATTTTTCAGCTGTATACCATAACATTTTCGGAAAATATTCAACAAATAAAAAAAAAAAAGAAGTTCATTTGGTCTCCTTGGAATTCTATGCGCATTCCATGTTAATTTGAGAGCATGTCAGACTATGGTACCCTTTTCTTAAATTTATACTGTTTAAAAGGAGATTGGCTCTTGTGCTTAAAATCTCTCAGCAAATTGCGTTCTTATTATAAAAGTACTCTTTTATAAAATGATTACAAAGCTTTATTCCAAAATAAGGGATTTTGTCACGTTCGGCATCTTGACATGCTCCTTCAAATAAAAAAACAGTTTGTTGGCACAAACCTTTTGAAACTGAAATATGGAACTCACGAATACTCTATAGTCTCATTAAATTAATGAGAAATAAGGTAAATGAAAAATTTTCTCGTAGATTATAATTATTTTCTAAGATAATCCATCGTCATAATAAGGATTTATCTGATTTATTGTTGCACTTCAAACAGAATCTTTTTTTAAGAGCGTACTATGCTTTATTTGCATTATTGCTATGCGTTCTTTTTCTTAATATAACATTGCCATTATTATAATCATTGGATTAAATAATAAATAATGGTCGATTAAAGATTCATTATACTGTGTCGATCAAAACAATGTATTTACTATCCATCATCGGTTTTTTTTAACTGAGCGCAAACTAAAAAGTGTACTATTTAGAACACTAGCAAATGTATTCCAGGCATGCAAGTTTTAACGAAGACATTGAAATACTCTAGAATAGTCTAAGGAAGGAACTTCTTCCAATTTCAATAATTTTTTGTCAACATGTACTACATAATGTTCTAATAAAAATTTTAAAAATATTTGAATTTCTATTGAGATTTGATTAAGCTGTCGAATTTTTCTAGAGGCTCCAGATTTTTTAGAAAACTCATAGTTTTAAATTTTAGTTTGGAACTATGTGGATATAGAGGATTCAGCTAGAAAAAAAAATTAAGAAGTTTTGAACACTCTCGATTAGATATGAAAATTTCAAGATATAGACTATTTTTCACCAATAGTATATGTAACATGCATTTTAGGACGACTACATATTTCGAATAGACTTCGTTCAAAGCTTCTCGATTTTTCTTTGAGTTGAGTTCTTCATATGGATAAAGCTTTAAATCGAAAATACGAGGTTTTTAAAAATTTTAGGCTCCTAGACAATAGACATATGAAAAATTCGATAGATTAGTCAAGTATCAATAGGAACTCAAATTCTGTTAGGTTTTTTATTAGAACGCTATGTAGCATTGATAGAGAAAAAATTATTGAAATTGAAAGAGAGCATCAGAAAAGTTTCTCTCGTAAGTCTTGTTATGAATGTCATTTAGTGCCGTTTTAAATTGATAGAGTCAATAGTGAGTAGAGTGACAACTGCAAAATTTCAACTGTAACTTTGCACTCAGTATTTTCTTCGAAAGTATATGTGCAGTATATAAAATATATATATAATGAAGGTCCACAGAGGATTCTAGGCCACGCGATCAATATAGAAAAAGCGTAAAAAAAGTTTCACGCTTGTTTTCAAAAAAAAAAAAATGCTTATGATTATTATTAAAAATCTTACCAAAAAAAAGAGGTGCCAAGTTAAAAAAATCATGTCGTTCATTATCATAAATATATATATTTGAAATCATTCATTGTTTTATTTCTGTAGAAATCAATCAAAAAGTTCAAAATAGTGCTATTGGAGCATCTAAAGTACATTCAAATAATGATCCAGCTAGTGTCGAACGATCAAATACTATTGGTGAACGTAAATATTTTATAGCAACAAACAAACTATTTTTTCGAATATTTGATCTCGTTTCTAGGTACAAGATCTCGCGGTTCAATAACAATGCGTATGTTAATGGGTGCAAGTGATATATATGCTGATGGTAAAGCTCAACCAGCGGCAGCTAATGGTTAGAACAAATTGTTATATTTGAATTTTTATTTATGTGTTGTTCTTTAATTGAATAGAAACGCTGTCAACGAAACGGTCTGCATCTCCTTCAACTGATAAATGTGAAAAAATTGAATATTTAATTCGTGATGAACTTGATCGAGCATGTCCAGCAGTGATTAAACGTGATGGTAAAAAAAAACAAATATCAATAACTTATTTTCATTAAAAAATAATTTCTTTTTTTTCATTGATTTTATAGAAACATTAAGTATATTTCAAAAGTCATCATCAAATCCACAGCAGCATCAGCATCAGCAACAGCAGCAGCAACAACAACAACAACAACAAAACTCAGCAAAACGATTGCGGTATAAAATAAAATAAAATATATATGTTGTAGACAAAATTAAAATTCAACCAGAGATAAATTCATCTAATAGAAACAATTAAAAGCTGCATAGAATAAATATTTTTACTTTAATCTAATTATCTATATTTTTACAACTATTACCTTGTTTTAAATGACACTTTATCAATCAAAAAACTCTTTTCTTTTACATGAATATTGTTTTCTAGCACGCTAGCTGTTACAATCACAAGTGCGAAGCGCGATTAAATACGATTCAAACATGTTTTTTTTTTGTAAAACATGATCTACAATGCGTATTGAAGTATAGGAGTAATAGTTTGGACTCCCCATAGACTGTATCAAATGCCTTATGGATGTTTGCTCTTTCCATCACACGGATTGTTGCTATACTATCAAAGACCATATATCAATAACGTTTCGTTACAATATATGAACTACTTCTTTGTTGCATTTCTGAAAGATTAAGTAAAATGATAATGAAGAATTTTGTTCCTAAATAGATTGAATAAAATAATCTTTCTGTAGTTAACAATGGCAGCTTCATTGTGTTTCATATTTTTATGTCATAGAAATTACCTTAATAGCTTTTATTAGATTTTAACACGCTTATCTAAATGATTATTGTGATTAGCGTATTTTTTGTCTAATTTTTTTTAAATTCTACTTTGCTTTTATTAAAGCAAGTGATTATATGAATTTATCTCTACTGAAATTTTAATTTTGTCTACAAGCTATATGTAATGAATGAGCTGTAAATAATTGTACTGTTGATATTTTTCTAATTCTACGTGTTTAATTGTAAGAAATTCTCGTTGGAAAGACGTCGTTTCGGTTGCAAAACTTACGGAAATTGTAGAAATTTGAAGCAGGAATCTGATAATCAGATTTTTCTAGCTTCAGTCGTAATTCGCCAGAATTGGTCACTGAATTTCTGCATTGAAGTTTTTACCAGTTTCTTAGATTCTTCAGCCGTAAATGATCCATATTTCTTAACATATGATGTTTCATCTATTTTGCATTTGATTGAAACTCTACAGACAATAGTTTACTTTCTTCAACGAAAATAATTCCTTTCATTATTTAAAACTAAACATAATATTACAATAAAATCAAATGCACCTTTTGTTTTCTTATTAGAAAACTTAACGAATTTATAGAAATTTTAATTCTCTTTGTTAATATTTAATTTATTTTAATTATTATTATACAATAATGTGACATTTTGTTGTTGTGAACAAGTTCGTCGAACAAAATATACAATATATACATTAAAAGATATATTTTATAGTAGAATAAGTACAAAATGAAACACCATATCACTATGCAAATTAAGAGAAACAGTCGTCTACTTTGTTTTGCTGACAGCAACCAAACGTCACATTATCGTATAATAACAGAAATTAAAATATATTAAATAATCGATGAAACAATGAAGAAAGAGAATAAAATTGTCTATGAATTTAAGTATCATAGCTTCAATTAATTCCATGTCATTAACTATTGTCTAATAGGTTTAAATCAGGTAGATTCAGTGACAGATTATTCTTCTACATGACTTCACCAAAATAGTGTGTACACCAGTTTTGACTAGGATAATGACCTATAAACCTTTAACTATATTCTGCTAACATAAACTTTTCAAAATCAACTCATCCATCTTGTGCAAATCGATCACAGTTGACTTCTTTTACCTTTCTTTTATGGTAATAAGCCAAGATCTTTATGCTATAACAACAGTATCCGTCTTGTTTCAAAAGATAATTTTCATATTGACACCAAGTTCTTGTAAGTTAGACGCCATTTCACCTCTGACATATTCAGTTGTGTTTTTCATGTTTGTCGAAGAGTGCGATATTAAGAGAGCTAGCAGAATGTTCCATAGGACTTTAGTGTCTCCAATTACCCATGATTGGAAGGGGTTTGACGACTTAGAAAACGGATTGGAAAATTTTTACTAAAGTTGACCTAAGTTGGAAAGATCGAGCTTTTTTGAGAATAGATGAGCAATAAAAATCTCGAACTCTATTGGATAAAAACAAAAATTTTTCAAAAGTGGGAGGGCATCCACTTGGAACATAATTGACAGCCAGTACTGTTGATCATTTTAGTCGACAAATTATTTGTTCACCCTAAAATCACTCCAGTTAAATCACAAGAAACTGTTTCTTAGTTCATGACTATTTTCATATTTATTTTTTATAGCTCTTTGTACGGCTTAATTTTCCATCTATCCTTTGATAATAAAAATCGTTTCAGTCGAATAATGAAGAATAAAAGACACATTTTGAAACTACCAACAGTCCTATTTCTTGTGGCTCATTCATTCTTTCTGTATATGTTTAAATTTATTTATTATTTATGATGATTATTTTAAATAGACCATCACCAAAAGATGAAGAACAACGTCATTCATCATTTTATCCTGCACATGAATCAACAATAAATATTCGTGATCCATTCGCTTTACAACCTCAATCAAAAGGTCAACATCACCAATTAACATCATCAACACATATGGATAAAAATTGGCAAACTTATCTTCAACAACAACAATATCATTCACCTAATTCATATCCATCACAATTTCCTTCACGATCATCACGTCCAACAGGTTCAATAACACAAGGTAGTCCTATATCACCATCATTACGTTTATTAACTGATCAACAACAATACTCATCAGCAACAAATAACCAACTTGTTAATCCACGCTATTCGTGTTATGCTAATAAAAGTAATTAATTCAAATTTCTTATTAATTTCTATACGACATCTTGCTTTTGTTTTTGATATAGATGAACAACAATCTTCACCATCAGGGCAATTATCAACATCACCACTTGATCATTCACCTAAAGCAAGAATTGTGCGAAGAGCAAATCAGGTAATTGTACTAGAGATACTCAATATGAAGAAAAAATCTGCTTTGCACTAGAAGATTGAATAGCGGCTATTTTTGTAGCGCCATCTTCAATAAATAATCAAACTCGAAAATTAAACGAAAACAGCCGATGTTGCTAGTATCGATGGCATGAGCGTGCTCACACCGGCGATAGGATCCATATTTTTTACCGAAATCTAATATCTTTTTTTAAAGATTTTTAGAAATATTCATTCATTGAGATATCAAAAAAGCTAAGTAGAAGACCTGCAATTAACCGACGGTCTGAACCTCATATGAGAACAGTCAATTACTGAATGCACGAAAACTATTACAGATATTCTGAAACTTAGTACACAATTTGAAAATTTCGGTTTATCACTTGTTGAACACTTTTATATTGGTAAACTAATGAAAGCAAGCCTACAGCACAAAAGAAAGTTGGTTGCAATAGTAGTCCACCTTAAAATTAAATTAGAAATCCACTGGGCGAGTTTTTCTATAAAGTTCATTATACATTTTCTCGTCAAAAGAATTAGATTGACAAGAGAACCATCCAAGGTGAGACCTCATTCGTTACGTAGGACTTGTTGAGACTAGAATAAACATAGAGGAATTCTTCTTGAAAATACACCACTCTTATTGACTGAAATTTTTAGAAGACTCTAAAGACTTCAAGAGCAGTCTACGGAGCTAATTTTTAGGCGAATATTCGTTTGTCCGGTTTTTTACACAAACTGTACCAAAATTAGAAAATCTAGTGTTGCGATCATTATTTTTAAAGACCAGTACCGGAGAAAGCATCTTTCTAGATTTCTTCTAGGCTCAAGAGAGACCCTACACAATAACTGACGGTCTCATGTGAAAGGCGAATTATTATCTCTGGTGGTTCACTCGTGAGAAAAGGTATACTGACTGAATATGCAGCTAATTTTTTGCAAATTATAAGTCTCTATTTAATAACTTTAAAATATATTATGTAACATCAATAAATAAAGTCGATAATTAAAATCTCAATAGTCTTTCAAAGAAATTTTTATCATTGAACTGAATTATGTCAAACATTACAACTGAAATCTTATTATTTAATTTAGACACATTCATCTCCATCTGATGTTCAACATGAATCGACATTATCAACAAGTGGTGATCATTCATCAACTTTAAAAAGTCCATCTACTAATCCAATGCCGACTGATCGTAATACTTCGCCAAGAAGTGCATCACCAACAACTTCAATCTCATTAAATAGTTCACATCCACTTAAAAAACGTTTGATTAGTGAATATGAACTTGAACAACAACGAAATTCACCAGGTGTACCATCAACAGTAACTACATCTACTGAAAAAGTTGAAACAACAGACGAAATAACGAATAATGCAAATATTGATATTCCAAAAAATGATACAGAAAATGTTTCTAACGCTGAAGTAACTAATGAAACAACTACTAAATCTGTCGAAGAAACTGAAAATTCAACGTGAATTTCTTTCTTTCTTTTTTTCTTTTTTATTCTTGTAAAAGTATTTTATTTTTTGCTCAATCAACCGGTCGTTGTCTCTTGATTTTTTTTTGTTGTTGTTAATTTATATTTAGCATTGAAACAGTGAACAAAAAAAAAGGCGAAAAAAAAACATGAGTTTCTTAATGTGTTTTTTCTGTATATGCGTCTCTTTTGTACATGGCGTTTATATTTAAAAGCACAGAATTGTGTTTTTTTTGTGTACAAATATATATGTCGAAATTTTTATTCTCCTATTCTTGGTTTGTATGTATGTCTATGAGTTTTTTTGTATAAAAATAAAGACTCTTCTTTTTCGTTGTTATTATATTGTCGAGTTGTTCTTATTTGTTTTTCTTTTCTCTTTTTTTTTTCTTTGTTCTCATTTATTCATTTCTAATAGAGTTGATGTGTTTCAGAATTTGAACACACATATATATATACAGACATTTCTGTCCTTTCTTTTTTTGTTAAAGATATTCTTTTCTCTTTTCTCATTGCTTGTTGTTCTTAAGAAAAAAAGTTTTCTTTCTTTTTCTCTTCTGTATCGTTCGTCTATTCAACATTTAAATAAAAGAAATTTTCGTAATTTAATTGACAATTTATCAAATAGTTTCTTATGGATCAATCGATATATTGAATGTAGTGTCTTATAATCTACTTGGGTATTCAGAGTATGGATTCGGATGTCGAGCATGAAAAATAAAATGTCTGTTCAGATTCAGATTATAAGATCATAAACGAACCCAACTCGGCAATTAATGAGATCTCGACGTTTTAGAATATTTTTATTTTTTGAAACTACTAATTCATATAATAGTATTGGATTGAGAATCACTTTGATCATGATCGAGTAATTTTCCATATGATCAAGTAACAGAATATATGGAGAGAAAAATAAATTATCGTAATAGAAAAAACATTTATTTATGTGTCCATAATCATGATGTTCGGCACCAGTGCTGTGTTCTATTTCAGTGTCATCAGCAACAAGCAGATGTATTCTTAGCGACATTGATCGGATTTTAGTAGCAGAAAGACATCAAATGAATGCTGAATCACTTGTTTTTTTTTGTAGAATTCGAGATGATCTCTTTTTTTTATCGCTGTTTATGGGAGAAACTAAGTAATATATTTTTTCATATAAAATAAAATTTTGAAAACTGTACTGTAGTTGTGAAAATATTCACCAGGCCTTAATGAGCTTCAGACAGGGTCAGGTTGCCAAAAGTCGTATCAATGCACGACATCGATTGAATATACATTAGATAGGAGAAACTCTTTGTCATATTATTATATGAACTGTATTTAAAGAATTATTTGCATACAAATGAGATTATAATGACTATATATTGAGATAATGAAAATAAATTATGGTGCCAGATAGCAAATAGCTACAGAAAACATCACTAATATTTATATTGACAAAAATGAGATATGACCAGCTTCGATTGAACTTACCTTCTTTAGAAGTGATGTTGTTCTTTGAACGAGTTCTTTTTTTTATGAATATATGTACAAATATTGGTTCTTTCAATTCATATTTAATTAAAATGTAATTAGCGAATAATACTCTAATCTTGTTACTGACAAATCAAACAATTTTACAATAAACTTCACGTCATAAACTGTATTTTTGGTGAAATTTCAGCGAGATATGATTAAAAAAATGCTTCCTAACAGCCTGTTTTCTAGGAGTATGCTGATGTCCTAGAATGAAACTTTTCATTTTACTATTATATTGAGATCGCTAATAATGATTTTTACCATTTAAAATAGGCTTTTGAACTTGTCGTCTCCTTATAAGAAGATTTTGTTATTTCTATATTCATACTCACTAAAGCCGTTAACAACGAATAAAACTCTATTTTTTTTGTGAAAAATCTAAATATGTTTAGGAAAAACTTTTCATGAATATTTGGAAGCCTGAATAAATCTCCAAAAAACGCTAATTCTTGAACTTGCAGTATTTTATAAATAAAAAGACCTGCACTGCACACTATTGTTCTTTATCATATCAAGTATTTAATGCTGATTATTCCATAATAACATGACGAAAGAAAAAACTATTGGACTCAGATTTTTCATTGTATTCAAAATAACCCAACATACAGCTGTTATATAAAAAATAGCTAAAAGAAATTTTCGATTCCAGAGATATACGCATTTTTATTGTGCGAAATAACCTCCCTAACCAATGATATTGTCTTTCTTTTCTTCAAAATCGTATTATTTCTCATGTCTTTCTGTATTGATTTGGATATATAATAGGCATTTCCTATAAATATCAAGTACTACAAGAATAAACAACATTCTAGTTGTATTTACGACATCATTGAATTGATTTTCAGTGTTTCAAATCTTACTGTTCAAGAAATAAAAGGAGCAGGCAATAAATTAATGATTCTATTTCTGAAGTATGTCTGTGTCATGATGTAAAAACGACGTATATCTGCGGTTACAATCAATGATCTAATTAAACTAGAAAAAACTATTAGAGATAATCTAGCCTCATATTTGTCACCGTTTTCGGTTACCTTTAGTTACACTTTTTCTACATTGTTATTAAGAATTTTCATTCCATGTCTTGAGACTTCAATCTGTCAAATTTTCGATATACACTTAGATCGACTTCAATAGTGAGTAAGAAAAATAACTAAATTTTCATTGATGAGTAAATCTACACGTAAAATATGTTGAATTTATTTGTATTAAAATTCAAAGTTAAAATAAAATGACAGGCATCCTTAATTAATGAATCGATAAATCATTTAATGATTGGTGTATATATACATATCATGGTGGAAAAATTCAAGTTAATTTTAACAATTTAATCAGTCAATTAACAGAGAAAAATTTTATTATCTACTGATATTAGAAAAATTTTTTTTGTTTGTAGTAAAATATTAATAAAATCTTTGTAAATATTTTCTTATCATTGAATCTCATTCAAAACAATTTAACAAAATAAACAACGAAAATTTTAAAAAAAATTAATGTACAGAGAAAGACTAAAAGGGTCTGTGTTCATGAATTTTTCTATTTAATGTTTTCAATAATATGCGACGATCCTCTGAGATGATTTAGCAAACTAATTTTAAAAATCCAAATTTTACACGAAGAAAACTTTTAATTGCAGAAGTTCATCATCAGAAAATGATAAACAGAAAATTTACTTCTTCTCATAAAAGAACTTTCAATATTGACATCACTAGATAAGAGATAGTAGGAAATCTAATATATGAACTAATATCCGTGCCAAAATTAAAGAGAGCTGAATGTAAGTTCAATAACTTAACAATGGCTATAGTTATCCATTTGTGGATTTCATCAATGGAAAGAGAACAACTACTGACTTCTTTTTATCAAATACTATATAAAACATTGATTTTAAAACTCATAATCTTCGCAAAATATTAGGAAAAAATGCATGAAAACGATGTACCGTTTCAAAAAAAATTCGATAAAGCGTCAGAAAATTCGCTAAAAAAAGTCAACGAAATTTTATCTAATTTAACTGAATAGATACGTGATTCTGTGTGCTCAACATTGATATATGAGAAGATAATCATCTGAATCATATTATGAACTTGCCGTTTGAAGTTGATGTCAACATCAAATATACATATAAACGGACCACACTGTTTTTATATAGTTTTGTTCAATGTTTTTCAAAAACTAAGGCTCTTATGATAATATCTTCTTATAATGTATCAGACAAAAAATTGTTCGAAGTTCTACTCTTCGGCTTGTTTAAGACTACAGATCAATAGCTGTTTTCGTTGCTGATTTATTGAGCTTACACCTGTTCCTTTTTAATTTTGATACGCACGTTAGTTTCATTGAGACCTTCATGTAAAGTCAAAAATCGATTTCGAAAGTGATCTAAGTGAGACCACAGCATTCTGTTGAAAAACTCGCTAAACACCTAATAATCTAATAGGAACGATTCATAGTCGCAAAGCCTTATTTATTTTTTTCTCATAAAAATAATAAAGTAAGACAGTTTCAAAGCGATTTATTAATTGGCAAGTGGCCCTTTTAAGTTGATGAGAAAAAAAATCTGTTATCAATAAAATTTCGTAAAGCTTTCATAAATTAATCAGGTATTCGATAAACAACAAAATGTTTTTTTTTTGTGTTAAATTAATATCATAAAAGCTTTCATTTATGTATTTTATTCATGACCATATTTAGTATATATGCTATTATGAGTACCATAAAATCTACTAAAGAACTCTGGCATATACTAATCTGACCATCGACAGACATGCCATCGCCTACATAAGAAAAGCAAGATAGAATGATAAATAGTTGCTATTTTTTTTCTTCTTTTCCTTGTCTTAGATATATTATGTGCTCATATTTCTCGAACCATCGGGCATCAGTCGTAGCTAGATATAGAACAGTACCACTGCTCCCAAATAACTCCACAGTTATGCTTGTATATACTACTTGTAAGCGAATGGCAGGAGAAACGAAGAGGAAGAGAGAGAAATAAATATTCGGTCGTTTATTTTTTGTATATCCAATATAGGCTATCTAGAGCAAAAGAAAAAGAAAAAAAAAAGGCGACTTGGTTGCATCTTTTCATCTATCTATAATAGCAGAGAATAATTACATTTGTACTGTTTTAGCCGCACATATCAGCTATTCTTTTCTCGCCGGAACAGTAGAACTTTAACAAGAGTAAGTCCATACAAAATATATCGTTTTTGCTGTGTTGTAAAAATATCTAGTTTTTCTTTTTGTTCAGTGTCAAGTGGTTCAGCATTTAGCAACGTACTCAAAGCTAAGGAAGATTTACAAAAATCTTCTGAACAATTAGAACAAGAAAAACGTTCAGTTCTTGCGCAACGTGTACCACAATTACAAATTGATGGAAAAACAAAGGAACAACTTATTGAAAAGGTTTCAATGATTGATTACTTTTAATCTAAAAATTAGTATAATTTTTTCTTTTACAGGCAAAACAATTACATAATCTTCTCCATCAATTACATGGTTCTATTTATGAATTAACAGAACGATTTGAACGACAAAAATATGATGTTAGTAATCGAATGAATTCTGTTTTTTGTTTTTTGTTTTTTATTTTAAATAAACATAAACGATTTTATTTAGATGGTTGAATTAACTGAACGTGCTCGTCAAATTGAGAAAGGGTAAAAACAATTATTATATTTAATTGATTAATTAAATTGAGTTTTTTTTTAATAGAAAAGCTAAAACACGTAAATCAAACATTGTTCACACTGGTCTTGGCGGTGGTATGTAAGTATCTAAAATTTTATTGTAAAATCAGGAAAGAAAAATTTTTCTTTTAATTTATTTCAGGTTTAGTGGTGTCAATGATGTTACACAAGGAGCACCGGTTTGTAATTCTAATGCAAAATTGTCTTGGTTCAATTTTTCATGTTTTTAATTTTAGCAAAAAGTATCACTTTTCAGTCGATATGAACGTGGTAAGTTATCTTCTATTAATAATAATGATACGAAAATAAATTTTTATTTAGTTACCGATCGTCGTACATACAAGGATCGTCGTGGTGTTTGGGCTGAAGAAAAGAAATCAGCTGACTTTGTTCCTGAACGTCCAAAAGCTAAAATACGACACAATACACCACCTCCTGAAGAAAATCCATTACGTAAAACTAAAGGTGCTGCTCATTCTAAAGCTGAAGAACATCATGAACAAGATTTAGTAAGTTATAATTGATAAAAGAAAAAATTTCATGTCAATTATTTGATGTGTTTTTTCTTTAGCCTCCTCCACCTACTGAAGAAGAAGCACCAACTCACGAACCAGCAGCTGAAGAAGAACCAGCTGCTGAAGAAGAGGAAGAAGAAGAATAAATTAATAGATTAAATGACAGTCATACCTTCTTATCATTTTAATCCTCTTTTTTTTTCATTTTTCCTTATTCTTATAAATTTTATTTAACATCTAATAAATAAACAAATGAGTTTGTTCTTCAATAGACTTAATTATCTTCAGAATCTTTTTCATATGAATATTTATTGTATTGATGAATTTTTTGATTTTAATTTATTTTCATTTTGAGACCATTTATTTAATAGACCATATTAAATATAACATGTACGTATTGAACATATTAAACAAATATAAAATATTTTCATTGATAAATTCCAAAAATGATGTAGTCTATTTATTCCAATATGTATTTGTCGACATATTTGATGTTTGTGATCATGCTGGGTATTATAATTATCTTTATTTGTTGAGAAAACACATTGTTGAATAGTTAATGATTGATTAAAACTAAAGTTAAATTGTTTTACATGTAATTCAATCATTGATTTGAAATTTTCATGTTCATTTTTATATTTATCAATAACAAGAAACGATAATGGTGTTATTTTATAATAAGCTGTAAAGTTTTTCAAATTACATGTTAAATCATAATTATCTATAAGATCAATAGGAAAATCTGTTTGAATTATGTTTGAATGATCAGTTGTTTGAATTTGAAATAATAGAGAACAATTTGAAATTTTATTACTAGATAAAATATCACACACATTGAAATTAAATTGAATCAATAATAGGCAAAAAAAAAACTAGAATCGACATGTCTATTGAACGTGATAAACTAAACAAATGATATCATGCTTAGCATTTATTAATACTTGATGGATCAGGTTACATGAATCATTGCTTTCTACGAAAGATCTTTAAATGTACATGACAAAAAAGAACGTTTAAGGGTGAATAAATGAATTCTTAAAACATATATATATATATTGAACGATTGATTTAACTTCTATCGATCAATTTTATGATAATCTAAATTTGTCTTGATCGGATATTGAACTTTGGATTTATTTAGTACAATTATTTACTAACTCAGATTCTTAAATGAAAAAAAAAACAGATAGATCCTTTAAAGATCATTATGTGCCTCATTGCCACTACTGACACTTATTCATTCTTTCTTGCAATGCATCATTGATATGTTAGATAACTTAATTATATTCTACTGAAACTGTATCCAATTTATTGCTAGTCGCATAAAGATGTCTATTAAGGTGGTTCTGAAATCACTGCAATAAATTTGATTAAACTTCCATTGATTTATTTTGATTAAGCAAATTTTTTTCTGTAGAAAAATTGAATTCATGAGCAATCAATATTTTGTAATGGATGCTGTCTAGTGTATAGTGCTGCTTCCATTACACTAATACTTTTTATTTTAAATTTTTATGATTTTCTCATTGATTAGATGGTTCATATTAAATGTCAAACTCAGTCATTTATCAAATCATAAAGCAAATTGACTAATAAATCACTAATAACATAGTTGACCAATTTAAACAATGACACGTTAGTAGATAACATGACAATGAGCTACTATAATTATTTGACCATCAAATATTGTTTGATATTTATCCTCTTTTCATATAAATAAAGTTTTACCAGAATTTTTTGTTGAATTCTATTGATCATATTCATGTAACAATGATTAAGTGTAAGAATTTTATATTCAACCTCAAACATATATTCTCTATCTTAAGTACATAATTCTTTATTTTATTCAATTTATTATAAGATAATATTAATTTATTTATGTATTAAATTATTTTAATAAATTTTTCTTGAAAAGAGGTCATTTAATATTGACATGTATTTTAAGTAATTCGCAAACCACTATGAACCGATAATCCTATCACACTCTTAAAGATCATCATTCGAGCTTGATATTACTGATCCTTTTTTTTCAATGATGCAGTAATGTTTATCTAAACTATTGTAATGATAACGGCTGTCTCCTCTTTTCTGTTCTCATCTGCGCTTTGTCTTGCTCTTTCTTTTATCCTTTTTTTCTGCTCATATTTCTTTCTTGTTCTTTCTCTTCCTTTATAAAAATGTATTATGTGAAATAGACATATTCTAGAGATATGATGTAGTCAATAAACATTATTACCGAGCTTATTGATAAACTATTCCTACAGTTTGTTGTTATAGAATGGATCAAATTTTCACATGAATTATGAATGAATTTTCTTTTGTTCAACGCAATAGAGTCATTCGATGATACCAAGTGATAAAGAATTAGATAAATCAGCACATGGTTCAAGTAATTTTTTAATTATATTCTGGTATTCTGCGAAAGAAAAGCTCGAAAATAAATCATGAATTCATCTTGCACGATTTTATTTTTGTCAATTATAGAATTGATAAGCAGTTCGTTCATAAGATAGATCATTATCGTTTTATTTAGATATAAGTTTTTGTGATAAACTATCTTGAGGATCTGAAAAGAGTATGGATAAAGAGATCAAGCCCATTTATACAAGTCTGCATCCACCTTATCCTAACTTAATTTTATAGAATTTCATGATAAATCCAATAAGTCAAGTCGTTCATCTGATTCTACTATTCCAGATTTATTTGACTTTTTTTATCATAATAAAAAAATACGAATAATACAGTCGATGGTAATGTAAGACTTATACATCTGATGAGACAATACTTCTTCAAATCGATCTATCTAAAAAAAAACTTCTATTAATATATGTAAGCATAATGTTAAATATGAACTTGTCGTTGAATAATAATTTCCCATACAAATGTGACTTTAATGATGTTATGATATGTAGTCACGATTCACTCTCAAAAGTGATACAATTTTTCTCATAATAAGACTTTCAAAAATTTTTAAGTATTTAAAGATTCCATAACTATTTAAAATACTTGATCAACTATTTATCGAAGACCAGATGTTTGCAAATATCTTTATGAATAGCTGTTTAGTGCAAAGAAGAAGTATTTAATAATTTACAGCAGTATGATCCATATCAAAATAAAGGAAGGAGTGAATATTTTTGAAATAATTTTTGATAGAAACAAGATAGAGATCTTCGGCTTTCATCGTTTAAAAGAAAAGATAAAACTGTATCAGATCGTGTATACAACATACTTCTGACAAGTTATCTCAGGATCTTTCACCAAGTTTGCTGAAAAACTGGGACTTTTAAATAAGCTTCTACGTTGGATTTTTCTTGAAAAGGTGAGAAAAAAGTCAATTTTTTGTGAAATACCTACTGATCACACGTGTTAAAATGTTTATAACTCATGGTTGACTAAATCTTATCAAATCAGACTTATATAACTTATAGATCTTTAGTTAATGTCTCTAGTGAATCCTTGAAAATTAGAATTCTGAGACTTTTTCATTATATAATATTTTTTTCAATAAACTTGATCGCAGATTCGAAAAAATGTGTCACAAAAATCTGGACTATGCGACTCGATGCAGCTTCATCTCAGCATTTAAACAGTAAAAGTCGCAGATCTCTATCTTGTTCCTATCAAAAGTTATTACAAAAATACCCACCTTTCGTTTATTTTGCTACTGGTAATAGTCAATAAATGTTCATGATTACTAAAATGATAGTCAACAAATTATTTAACAATACTTATTGTTTTCGAAATAATGGTGGGGACCAGAGATGGAACCGGTACCGATAACCGACCGGTCCGATACCGGTCTATGTTTTTCACTTTCCTGCTCTATGATTGTATCCAAGATACGAAGGTAACCCACAAGAGAGTTCACTGTGCAACAAGATTTCATTTTAAGCCTCAGCATGTTGTCTGTAGATCGATATTTTGTCGGTAGGTTGGATTTTCCTGATAAATTGGCGTATCATTAGTATTCTGTTTACTACCGGTAGACCGGTATCTGTTCGGAAAAAAGTAGACCGGTTCCATATCTGGTGGGAATTGCATGTGAAAAATGGATGAATTTGTTTTGAGATCTAATCAGGGATTCTGCAGTATTATTTAAAGATATTCGATACGAATATGATGAATGTCTATAGAGGTTTAAATAGGTAACACCTATATGTTTATGTTGAATGTTTTGATGAACGGTTATTGCATATAATACATTATTTCAGGATGTTCAGTATTATCTAAAGTATGTTGATAGCTATTAGAACACGTTGGCATCATAGATTTTGAGTAGATTTAGTAGTATTAGGTATTTCTAGATTTAGATCTTGATTATGTTTTTAAAAGTGTTTTGCTATGTTGTTCAGCCTATCATATATTGTTTCGAGTGAGCTAACAAGTGGAGTACAGAGACAAAAATTCAACACCAAGTTAGATCATTTAGCAGCCATGCATTTTATTTAAATAGTGGTTAACAACTTTTGAATTGTAATGACTATATTTGAAAAGCACTCAATTTTAAGTAACTGGATGCATTAAATAGTTAGCTAAATTAAAAACCGACTTGAATTTGATAGCTATGGTAATGTTGCAAAAGCATTACATTTTAAATAGCTGAGTTTTTATTCACAAAGTATCTCTTTTGAGAAGCCACGAAAAAAATCAACACCATAATATTTTTTGGAGCATCTTGTACTAGAGTTCATAAAAAACTTTCTTGGATCGCCTATCTAAAATTGAGTAAAATTTCAGACTATTGATTAGGACTGTTCGATTGCGACTTACATGGACTAACTCTTAAATAGCACCGCTAGGAGACGAAAAAACTGAATTCTCTATTAAGCACACTCAAACCGTACTGTAAAGATGACGTTTTAAGTTTAGATTAATATTCAAGTTTTTCATTTTTTTTGAGTTTTATATAACATTCGTGATTTACAAGTAAGTTATTCTGAGTTTTTATGTGGTGGTGACGGTTTGTGATAACAATAGTCCAATAGTCTTGTTACTAAAGATTTCAGTATGACAAACATGATCTCCTAATGACTTCTATAGGTGCAACATTCAAAAGAAATCAGTGTTGTTTTCGTCCGAACACTCTCAAATTGCTTGATTTCTAGCTTAACATAGATCGATGCTCATACGTACCATGAATCCT